GTTTTAGTCAACTCTAAGTGGAATTTTATGCCGTTAATATAACTTGTGTTTTTATTCATATAATAATTTTAACAAATGTTTGTATGTTTATTTCTGTTCATATATCTAAAATAAATTACTTTATTTTAAGAAATCTGACCAGGTCACAAGTTTTCATTTTTCACTTCATGAAAAGAGGGGTATTTCGTTATTTCTGATTTCATTTTTGCAAGATCTTGCTGGATTATCTTTGAAAATTAGGCTGGTCCTAATTTCATGGGATAATTCGCTACATAGGTCCCCTATATGATACATTTTACTGATTTTTTTATCCAAACAATCAATTATTTATAAAAGGTAAATCAGGAAAATTAACAAGGCTGCCCAAACTTTCACACCCCACTGTAGTTCCTTAGTTTCTACAAGAAAAGTCTGTGCACCAGTGGGCTCATGAAGGAAACGGGGTGTGGTTTGTACTAAATACCTTAGAGAACTTTACGGGTGGCTGCATATGGATTTGGTCTCTCAGGCATGTGACAAAACCACTGGTGCCATTACAGCCTGTCAAATTTCCAGAAGGTCCGCACACAACACATTYAACATTGTGCTTAATTTGAACATATAGCTAATGAGCGCAGGTTTGACATCATCTTTGTTGATTATTAAGCAGGTGGCCTTAAGAAGCATTTAACCATAATGCTACAACAAACACTCATGGCATTGCATTACTAACGTCTGTTTTTGCACATGAAGAAAACCCCTTCACCAACAGAAGTGATAAACTACACTTTACATCTGAGTTCTTACCTTCCATCTGTTGCCACAGCTGTTACACAAAACAAAAGTTGTCATGGGTTCATCAGCACTTCGAGTTTGCACCTGCAACACAAATTATTTTTAAAGAACATGTAAAAATAAAAAGGAGGAGAAATTAATGTGGAGATTCCATGAGCAGAACCTGTGTGTACGTGCAGCTCTTCCCGCGACACTTGTTGCAGATGAACATGTCTGTCTCAGTCCCTCCCATCTTTGACAGCTGGTGTTCTCTGATGGACTCTTTAGTAAGAGCCTCTCTCATCTGTTTCATCTCCGCACTCGCCATCTCCTGGACACACATAAGAACATACAACTTTGAACAGCTGCCTTGGAAGTCTTTGTACAGTCTCTCTCTTTTGGGCTAAACAGGAGAAACTGGTTCAGAACTACACAAAGTGTCAACATTTCTGCTGTATGGGGCAAAAAAATAACTTGAACTGAGTTGAGGGTCAAACCTGGACAAAAACTAGATACTGCATAGCGGTAACATAATGACCCCCGCACGCACAAATACACCAGAACTCAGAAGTCTTTATTCCTAATAAATGTCATGCTACTAGGTGCATCCCAAAATTGTAGTGGTTTGGGTGGGGGTCTTTTTTTTCTGGGTTGGTTGACCTGATGGAAAGCCCATCAGAGCTAAACAACAAAAGAAATCTGAAGCTCCTA